TAATCAATAATTTAGACTTAATAGACATATATGGAATATTTCATCCATCAACAAACAAAGTACTTTCTTCTCAGCAGCACATGGCTCCTTCTCTAAAATACACCATATCTTAGGCCACAAAGCAACTCTTAGTAAATACAAAAAAACAAAGATAATACCCTGCATTCTATCAGATCAAAATTGAATAAAATTGGAAATCAATGACAAAATAAAAAAAAATAGAAGCTACTCTAACAAATGGAGACTAAATAATACACTATTCAATGATGAATGGATAATAGAAAAAATCAAGGATGAAATAAAAAAAACTCTTAGAGGTAAATGAAAACACTGATACAGCATATCAAAATCTCTGGGACACTATGAAGGCAGTACTAAGAGGAAAGTTTATTGCATTGAAAGCATTCATTAAAAAAATAAAAGTCAACAAATAAATGACCTAATACTACATCTCAAAACCCTTGAAAAAGAAGAATAAATTAATACCAAAAGCAGTAGAAGACAGGAAATAATTAAAATCAAAGCTGAAACCAATGAAATCAAAACAAAAGAAAATTGAAGAAATTGGCAAAACAAAAAGTTGTTTTTTTGAAAAAAAATAAGTAAAATAGAAAATACAACAGACACTTGTTTGGCAGTATGTATAAACGTGGCTGTATAATCAACATGATTCTGCAATCTGTACACAGGAGAATAATAAGAATTCATACCCCATTTGAAACAAATGCATGATATATGATGTGTCAAGATCAATGTAATGTTTTGAGCAACCAATAAATTTCTAAAAAAAAATTAAAAAATAAGTAAAATAGAAAAACCCTTAGCCATGTTAATGAAGAAAAAAAGAGAGAAAACTCAAATTACTAAAAAATGAGATGAAGAAGGAAGTATCACAATGGACATGTCTGAAATACAGAAGATAATTCGATATATTTTGAAAATTTATACTCTAATAAAATAGAAAATATCGAAGACATCAACAATTTTCTAGAGACATATGATCTACCCAATTTGAATGAGGAGGTCATACATGATTTAAACAGATCAATTTCAAGTAATGAAATAGAAAATGCCATCCAAAGCCTACCAACCAAGAAAAGCCCAGACCCAGATGGATTCTCAGTTCTACAAGACTTTCAAAGAAGAATTAACATCAAATGCTTCAAAGTAGTCCATGAAATAGAAAAGGAGGGAACCCTTCCAAACTCATTTTATGAGGCCAATATCACCCTGATACCAAAACCAGACAAAGACACATCAAGGAAAGAAAACTTCAGACCAATATCCCTAATGAATATAGATTCTAAAATCCTGGCAACTCGCATAAAAAAACGTATTAAAAAGTGCCCCATGATCTAGTGGGGTTCATCCCAGGGATGCAGGATTGGTTCAACATATGGAAATCAATTAATGTAAACTTCTCATATTAATAGACTTAAAAACAAGAATCATATGATCTTCTCAACAGATGCAGAAAAAGAATTTGACAAAATACAGCACACCTTCATGTTCAAAACACTAGAAAAACTAGGTATAGTAGGAACGTACCTCAAGATCGTATAAGCTATATATGCAAGGCCAGCATCACTCTAAATGGAGAAAACTTTAAAGCATTCCCTCTAAAAACTGGAACAAGACAAGACTGTCCTCTTTCACCACTTCTATTCAACATCATCCTTGAAACTCTAGCCAGAGCAATTAGACAGAAAGAAAGAAATTAAAGGGATACAAATAGGTAAAGAAAAACTCAAACTATCAGTTTTTGTTGATGACCTGATTCTATATCTAGAAGATCCAAAAAGTTCCACCAGAAAACTTCTAGAACTAATAAATGAATTCAACAAAGTAATAGGATATAAAATCACACCATAAATCAAATGCACTTCTATACATCAGCAATGAATCCACTGAAAGAGAAATTAGGAAAACTACCCCATTCACACAAGTCTCAAAAAAAAAAAAACAACCAAAAACCTGAGAATCAATCTAACAAAAGAGGTGAAAGACCTCTACAATGAAAACTACAGAACACTAAAGAAAGAAATTGAAGAACACCTCAGAAGATGGAAAGCTCTCCCATGCTCCTGGATAGGCAGAATTAATATTGTCAAAATGACCATACTACCAAAAGCGTTATACAGATTTAATGCAACTCCTATTAAAATCCCAATGATATTCTTCATAGAAATAGAAAAAGCAATCATGAAATTCATTTGGAAAAATAAGAGACCCAGAATAGCCAAAGCAATCCTTAGCAAGAAAAGTGAAGCAGGAGGCATCCCAATACCAGACTTTAAACTATACTATAGAGATATCCTAAATCTTTACTACCACCTTAAATATTACTTATTTACCTTTCCCCTCCTAGGCTTGGGGAGCCCTTGAGGGTAAGACAGCATCTTGTACACCTTTATGTCCTCAATGCCTGCTCAGTGCTGTTGTGCAAACCCTACCTTTGTCGCTGGTCACTGCAGCACCCTCTCAATCCATTTGGCAATCTTTTCTACGCTGACTGACTTCTGCCCCCAAAGCCCTTCCCATTGACATTGAGGCTCTTATTTGCTAGAATACTTTGTAAGGATGCCATAACAAAGTACCCAGACTGGGTGGCTTATATAATAAATTTTTTCCTTCATTTCTTCAAGCCTCTTCTTAGCCAGATGTCTGAAATCAAGGTATAGATAGGGTTGATTCTTTCTGAGGCCTCCCCTCTTGGCTGGTAGGCAGCTGTCTTCTCCCTGTCTCTTCCCGTTGTCTTCCCTAGGCATGTATTTTTATCCTAATCTCTTTTTAAGGGTGCCCGTCAAATTGCATTAGAGTGCATCGTATGATGTCATTTTATTACCACTTTAAACTCTGCATCCAAATACATCCACTTCATGAGGTGTACTACATGGATTAGGACTTCAGCACATGAATTTTGAAGGGACCTAACCCATAACTTGCCTCTGATCCATTCATAACTTTACCCGAATTCGGCGCAGGTCTCCAAATTGTTCCAATATATAGAGTCACAGGTTGTAGCACATTTGGTTCCCTCCCTCCCATTGTCTGTCCCCCTCCCTCCTGTTGAAATCACTGTTATTATGATTGATTTAGATTTGAACCCTCTAGAGCTCATACTTTTGGGATCATTTCCAGTATGAAGTTGACCTTCAGAGACATTTGGAAACTATGGAGAAATATTTCTCCTGTGTGATGTTTTCTCATGTTTGAATTGGTAGCTTCACATTTTAATTTCATTTACCTTTTCTAACTCCTGGAGGACTTAAGAGTGTATGTACTACAGTTCTATGAACTTTTGGGTGGCATAACTAGCACATGACTTGGTTTTGGCATTCCAAAAAGATCAGGAAATTTTAAACATCTCTTTTTAAATGTATCGAAATTTGGTGATTGTTTTCAGATACAATGCCTTACTGGATTATATATATATTTAAGTACTCTGTATATATGCATCAAGTATTATCTATATGTGTGTGTGTGTGTGTGTGTGTATATATATATATATATATATATATATATATCACTATATATGTGTGTATATACATTTATATATATATTTATATATTCAAGTATGTGTGTATATATATATATATATATATATATATATATATTTATTTATATTTATATGCAAGTACTCTATACAGTACTTTTACTGATGAAGAAGTGGAACCCCCAAAAGGTTTCATATCAAGTGTCAAAGCCAGTTTTCAAATCCAGGTCTTCAGAGTAGGAGGACAGTGCTTTCTACTGCATCATGATTAACTTATTTATAAGGTCCTTAGAGGCAGACATACTTATTTTAAAAGCATTGACATTCATAAACCTGTGCTTATTAAATTAACTCATAATTTATTGCTTTTAAGAAATATTTTAAATATTAGTTTTATGAATGTTAATGGTATAAGTTGTTGTTTTGTTTTGCTTTGGTACCAGGGATCAAACTCAGGGGTGCTTAACCACTAAACAAAACATCCCAGCCCTTTTTTATATATTATTTAGAGACAGGGTTTCACTGAGTTGCTTAGGGCATTGCTAAGTTGCTGAGGCTGGCTTTGAACTCACAATCCTCCTGTCTCAGCCTCCTGAGATGCTAGAATTACAGGTGTGTACCACTGTGCCTGATAAAAGTTTTATTTTAAATAAATTTATATTTATAGTTTTGATTTATAATATATAAATGTTGAATATTGCTTATAATTTAAAAATAAACATGCCTGTTTAAGCTTATTTAATAAATTTCTAAACAATGTATCTGTAGCTTTTATAATTATTACAATCATTATTTAAATGTTTTGATAAAATTCTAGTTTACTTATAAATATTTTATATAAAAATTCTCATAGATGTAACTAATGTAATTCTACATCAACCAGAAGAATGAAAAGTTATACTCCATATATATATAATATGTCAAAATACATTCTACTATGATGTATAACTAATTAGAACAAATTTTTAAAATAAAAAAAATTCTATAGGCACAACATATGCATGTATGTAAATGTCACAGTGAAATTCATTAATTTGTACAATTAGAATGTGTTAATACTAATAATTAAAAATCCTTACTAACAGCATTGAATTAAATTAAGTTCTAGATTGCTGATTGACAATAGAGAAGGAAATCTACATACTAAACTATAATAAAGACTCCTAGACATTTGCTAGTTTGCTCTGGAAAATAATACAAGGAATAATGACAAAAAAAAAACTTTCTTTAAGTGAAAAAATAATAGCATTTTTTAAAAATGTAAGTTTCTTTGCTGAGCTGAATTTCAATTTAAATCCTTCAAATAAGCCTATGATGTAGGTATTATCCCATTTTACATTTGGGGAAACTGAGGCTTAGCAAGGTTCAGCAGCTTACTCAGCATCTCACAGCTAGTAAGTGCAGAGCTATAAGTTGATCCCATGTTTATGACTCCACATTCCTTCTTGCACTGTGACACAAGCTGAAGAAGTACAGGATAGACAAAGAGTCATCAATTACTCACTGAAACCAGGGAAGAACTGGGTACAGCAGGCACTTGAAGCCAAAGACGCCCCAAAAGGGACATTGGTCATCTGACAAAGAATTACTTAACCTCTGTGGCTCTTAGTGTCTTCTATAAATATGAAGTTAATTATGGTGATTCCTCATGGGTTTGCTGTTAAGAAAACAAAAGAGTCAATGTGTGTGTGTTGAGTAATGTACTTCGATATGTACACTATGTATGTATGCTGTGTATTAGAGAGCTGTGGAAACTTATCCAAACCTTTTGAAAAGTAATGACTACATAGTAACTAACCAAAGGTGTAAAAATGTTTATGTCTTTTTGGAAACATACTCTAAACAATGATTCAAAAGACAGGGAAAAATTTTTTTTAGTTACATGGAAAAAAACAGAAATATAAATCAAGATATCAACACAATCTAATCTACTTTGTTGAGGGAACATTGTGTAGTGGCTAAATCTTATAAACCCAAAGACTGTAAAAAATAGAGAACATGTAACATGTGATGGTAAGTGGTCACCGGGGTATGATACCAAGTGGTGTTCTAGCTGAACACACATGCATTTGGACAAAGGCAGCAGGCAACTCAGAGACACGCGGGGATGGTGAGGGGAACGTGCCTCCTTTCAGGAGCCCACTAACGTGCAGTGTTGCAACAGTATTTGTTTTAATGCTCTGTGTAATGGTAGCCTTGTGATAGGCACAGGTGGTTCAGAAGATATATAAAACATTGGGAAGAAAGGCAAATGCCCAAGGGACATTTTAAAAATCAGCATGTAAAACATACAGGAAATGGAAATTTAAATGCAAAAATTTAGCAGAGCATTTAAGGGAAATGGGTACTAAGGGAGGTGCTGGAGAATGCATAAGCAGGCTAGCCTCTAACAAGATCCTGCCTAGAAAACTCAAAAACAGGATTGCTTGTGAGCTGTTCCCCCTGTGACCTTCTCTCACTGCTCAAATGTCTGTGATAATAGTCGAAAAGGAAGGAGGAAAATGTAGCAGTATGTACAGTTTACTCAAGTTCACCAAAACTGTAGAAAAAGGGAGGAAGTCTGGTCAAGCCCCTGTGAGTCAACAGCAAGACGCCCTCCACCCAGTCCTCCTCTTTTTTCCAAGGCCACCTCACCTCTGCATCTGTGTGCTTGACCCTTCCAAGAAAGGAACTCCAGCTGCAATGGGTGGAGCAAGCCCAAATCCCTGTTGGTTGGCCACCACAACCAGAGCAGGGGGCCTGAGAGCAGGGCCTGGGGCAATGGCGGTTATCTAGATCACATCCTGCTTCAGGAACTTTCTCCTTCCTCTTTTCCCACAGTGTGTTTGAAATGTCACAGTTCCCTCCACATCTAGGTCCCAGAAACAGTTTGTGGCTTTTGAGCAGTTGAAGGGGCAACTGAAGTGCTTTGTTAACAGATTTTTAAAGTACTCTGCAGATACAAGAAATCTCAATAAATGTTTGCTCCCAATAGACAATGAGTGACAGGTAGAAGCTGCTTCCATCTCAAAATAGAACACAATTGTTCCAAGGTTCAAGGTGTGTGGAAAACAGGGTGGGGCCATTGATAGATATAAATGTCCCTTCTTTATATACAGTATAAGATCAAGATTTCTGAGGAAGGACACTTTCTTTCCTTCTGAGTAGGTAGGATTGTTTGAGCTGCCTCAGTCAATGTATCCCTAAGCAGACACCACCTGGACTGCTCAGTCATTCTAGCAGAACCTATCAGATGATCCCCATATCTTTCCACCTCAAAAAAATCTAAATTATTTCTGTCCTTTTGTACCAGGAATTGTCATTATATTTCAGGCACCAGGATAAACACTAAAGGTTGTCATTACAGTTCAAGGTCTTCACAACAGCTTTTTCTTCTTTTAAGAGCTAATCTTAGAAAAATTACCCTAAGCCCCTTTCATGTGGAAATCTCTGAGAAGTTGTGTACCAATTTTAAAGTGCTCTGAAGTTATCATGAGAAGAAGATACAGGGGCAACAATTGCTCTCATTTTGCAGAGATCTGTAGAGGATGGCTGATATGCCTGGGGCTTCAACAACCTTTCTCTAATTCTGTAACTCCTCTCCTTGTTCCAAGCCCAACCTCAGCATCCAGACTCCCATATTCAGCAAATGGTGAGTTAGTGGGGAACAAAAGGTAAATAATGCCAGTCATCCAAACCAGAATAATAAAAACCCATAGGGAAAGCCTGAAATGAGGATGGGAGGGAAAGGAAAAGGGAAACACTGTTTAATAATAACTGTATGCCTACCACTAGTCTAATGCCTTACGTATGAACCCATTATTTCAGAAGTTACCTTTCTATGTGGTCCAGACTCATAATGTATTTTGCCACCAAATAAATAATTTACAAGTAAGAAATCTGTTTTGCAACTACTGTGCTGTTTTGGTCTTAAGTATACCCAGTGTGAACTTATCAAGGGATTGTTTGGTCTAAAGAAAATCAGGATGCACAACCTCCTGAGAAAGCTAGTTACATGTTGCCATAGCAACTGGACAAGCCTCAGACTAAAGGGCAAAGTTCTTCGGATTCATCTACTGCTTCTGCAGATTGACATGCTCAACACAGAATCATGTTTCCCTATCATCAACATGGCAACTGTTATTTTCATTAAAAAAAAAAATTGTAGTCTTAAGTTGACATAATTTGGCCTTTTCCCTGGTGCCATTCAATGTCCTTTTATCTTTGGAAGGTGGAAGTTGGTAATTCGATCTTTTGGAACTTTCATTCATGCATTCACTAATATGGTTGGAACCTGCGCCAGTGGGGTTTGATGGTAATTACACTTTGACAGCTGGAACATGACCTGCGAAATGAGTTGCTGGTCTTGGTTTAACTCCTAATGGACAGCAATCCACATCTTTAGGAATCCAACTATAGCCCCTGTTTTCAGATTCTGGGAAGAAGTCAGAGGTTTGAATGACTTCTCTTAAGGGTAAATTGCAGGGCCCTCTCCCCAGGGGTTATGCTTTGCCTTTCTAGGCCATGGATATCTCTGCAATTAGTCTCAAAATACCCTGTGAGATGTGTGTAAATAATGCAAACCACATTTATAGGCAGGGCCACCCTGGTGGAGAGAATAAGTAATTTGCCCCATTGGGGGCAGGGTAAGATAATTAGTAACAGCAGGAGTAGAGAGTCCAGAAGCTTATACTCCATTCCTTTGCTAAGATCACTGAAAAATCTTCCTTTACTTCGAATAACACAGCCAATTAATGAGCAGCAGGAGGTGGGGATGGGTCAATATTTGCTGATTTATTATTAAAGTTCATTTTTATTTTATGGGGTTTGTTGATATGTACAGTTAAATTTTCATTTTTTTTTCTCCTCTTGATGACTCTTCTAACAAGATTGAAAGAGAGGATGAAAAATATGGGTGGTGAGATTGGAACTGGGATTGGAGACAATTGGATCTTAATAAAGACATGCAGGAAGAGATCAGTTAACCAAAGAAAATTTACTCTAATTAGAAACTTTTTAAAAATTACCCTGTGCTAAATTATAAAGGCTAAGAAATACCGAAACATGATTTTCATCCCAGGTGGCTCACATAGTGATAAGTACTCTAAGAATAGTACCATGGGACTCTGTGGTAGGGAGAAATTTATTGTGACTCTAGTCAGAAGTGGAGGAACATAGGAAAATGTTTCCTAGGGAAGTTGAACTGGACTTTATAGGACAGGTAGGAATTCACAGGCAGATATTGAAGAAGTATATTTTTAGGAACCAGGAACAGCATAAACAAAGATACAAATTGGAGACCATTTAAAAAAATACATTGACCAGTCTTGCATGAGTTATTGGGTAAATTGTAAGGTTAAGTTGGAGCTGAAGTTGAAAAAGTAGTAAGAGTTCTTTGGGAGGATTCTGAATAGTAGGTAAAGAACTTTGGAAATCATCCCATTCAGAATCAAAGGTTTAAAAATCAGAGGTTGACCTGTGGTCATTGTTTTTAGGGAATGAGATATTAGGAAAGTCATTTTTTTTAAATTCTTTTAATCTAACTTATGTTCTAGAAAAATACCTTAACAGATAAAGCTGAAAATATCCTGAATTGCTGTCAACATGGGTATATTAATTCCTTCAGAATGTCATAAATGGTTTTGTAATCTGTCTCTGTACAAGGTTAAATGGGTTTGCATAGGCTGTAGACTGAAGGGCTATGCAAAAACGCTGACTCAGGTATTTCAAGTGACAAATGTGGAGTTCAAGTGCTTGAGGCACTATTGTGAGCAGCAGGGAAATGGCTCCCAGCAGCAGAAAGTCAGCCAAGTCCCTGAAATCTCTTTCTCTGTTTTCTTAACTACAGGAGCAACAATGGAAACCTTCTGTGTACAGCAGCCTAGCTCCAGTTTGCTTTGCAAACCCTCTGATTGAGAAGCCAGTAAGCAAAGTAAGAATGCCTCTATTTCTTGTTGAACAGTATGCTTTGAGCAGATTGACTGTTATTTTATCTTTTATCTTGATTTTATTTAAGTGAAATAATCAAATTGAGCTCATAAAGCTGTCTGAGAAAAATCCCAAATGTGAACTATTTGGTTGGTGCTAATGATGCCTGAGGTAAACTTTTGAGCTTGAGAATTCTTGATATGAGATTCCCTCACCCCAGCACCTGCCTCTACTTGCAAACCAATGGCATCCTCCAATCTTCTGGTCTTTCAGCTGTTTGGCCGATCCTCCCCTGCCTATCAGAGCTTGTTCGAAGGAAACAGATTGCATTTAAGTATGACCCTCAAAGTGGGAAATTCACACACAATATTTTGTTTAAATAATTTTTTTTTGTCATTAAACCATCTTGTGGATTATAGACTTTACCTCTAAAACTTACAGATGTGTGCCTGACCTTCTGTTCTTCTGAACTAGAAGTCACAGCCATCAGTCCCACCAGGGAGTGTAGAGTCTGATGGGAAGAATATGGGCTCTCTGGAGCCAGCCTACTGGGTTCACTTCCCCACTTAGCCTTCCACTGGCTGTATGACTTTTAGCAAGTTCCCTCTGAAAAGGGCACCATAACAGACCTGCCTCGTGGCCTATCTATCATAAAGATTAAATAATTGAATATAAATTCACGAGAGTAAGAATTTTTTTTTACCTATTTTGTTTGCTGTGTATCTAAGCACTCTTAGATATACAAATAAA